GCAGCCCTTGTCCACAGAGTCCCTGCAACGCGCCAGTCTCGAGGCCAGTACATCTCCAGGAGAAGGGGCAGCAGCGGCCCTTGTCGTCCCACTGCTACAGGGGCCGTCAGCACCCTTCGCCCACTTGCCACATCCCTGCTCCCCTTGAGAGCCGGATTTCAATACATGGCTCCCAGAGGCCAGCACAGCCATTGGGGACCACTCCCAGGCAGAGAAGAGGTCCTCCCAGCTGTCGCTAGAATTGCTTGTTCTGAGCCTCACTTCCTTCCTCCAGAACATGGTGGTCAGGAAAGTGTCAACCTCAGAAGGCCGTGGAGGAGCCGCTGCGAGACGCACACACACGCCTGGGCCCAAGGGAGCTCTGTGGCCTCCACACTTCTCACCACATGTCTCGGGCCGCTGAGCGATGACTATGGTAGCAGCTAATGTTCCCTCTTCCTTCCTTCCCGCGGCAACCCCCAGCTGGTACAGGACCCCCGTCCTGAGTTGTCCTCATTCCGGACAGAGACTGGCTCAGGACACAGCCCCAGGGTCTTCCCTGCACCCCCCGCACCTGCACCCCTGCCATTGGCCCAGACCCCAGGACCGTGGTGAGGAGAGATGAAGCAGCCCCGAGAGCTGCCCGAGTCATCGTGGCCCCGAGTGGCCCTGAGGTGGCCAGAGCTTGGCCCCTTGGACTCTCTCCCTGTAATCAGAGCCTGCCAGTGGTCCTGCCGTTGTGTGGGATGGCCGTCCTCCCCACAGCCACGCAGGTGCAGAGAGGCAGCACTCAGGGAGAAGAAAGCAGAGAGGCACAGCCCTGACACCCGGAGGCGGTAGAGACGGATGCTGACAGTTGGCCCACCCTGCTGCTGCCCGTCGGAGGTGTCCAGCCACTTCCTGCCTGGGGTCTGGGAAATGCCCCTCCATCCTTTATGGCTTGAGTGCATTTTAATGGATTTCCCCTACTTACCCTCAAAGAGCCTGACTGAAGACAGGTCCTGTCCAGCAGGGTTTTGCAAGGATTCCCATCAAGCCCAGGTTGGTGCCAGAAGTGTCCTGGGCCATAGGGTCAGAAACCACCTGAGCACAGAGCCAGTGACCAAGCATCTAGATTCTGGATCTACTACTCAGGGGCTGTTCCCTCACCTGTAAAACAGAGACACCCATGATTCCTGTGGTCTTCACAGAGCGGGGGGGATGGGGGGATGTGTCACCTGCAGGATGCTTGTCAGACAGAGCTGCTATGATGGTCGTTTGAAGCCCATGACACCCCTGCAGCAGCACAAGACACCCCTCCATGCACTAGACCAGAGCCAGGACTACATGGTCACCTCCTGTAATGTTTATGCCAACCCGGTGGGGAAGGAATGACTGCTACCCCATTTTACAGATGGAGAAATGGAGGCCCAGAGAGCCATGGTCACAGAGCTGGTAACCAGGCACTTGGATAAAAACTACAGTCTTTGTGGCACCAAAGGCTCTTCTGCTGCATGCTCGGTGTCCCTTTATCTTCCAAAGCACTTACGACTCCTCATCCTAAACTCTAGCTCCTGACTTGAGGCAGCCACACAGATCATCACGATCCAGAGCAAGCCGGGTCTTCCCTTGGGCTTCTAATTTCTCACCTGGAACATTCTTCCCCATCATATACCCTTGAGCTCGCTCCCTTGCTCTGTTCACCTCCTGGGAGGCCACCCCTGACCCCAGCCCACCGCACCCCCTGAAGCCAAATTCTGTTTCTGTGGGTTTTTGCTCATCACTGTCCCTCCCACTGGACCAAACATCCACTCAGCCACTTGATGTGTCTTCACAGTGAGGTCTGTTCCTGGCACCCAAAACAGTGCCTGGAAAATAGTAGATATCCAATAAATATACGCTGAGTGGAAAACACATGAAACCATCAAATAAATGTACATGACCTACTATAGCTCTTTCACTAATGTCCAGCTGAGGTCATTCATTCCCTTAAACATTCACCAGCACGGGCCGGCCTGGTGGCGCACTGGAAAGTGCGCCACTTGGGAGCGTGGCAGCGCTCCCGCCGAGGGTTCGGATCCCATGTGGAGACCGGTTCCGCTCACTGGCTGAGCACAGTGCAGGCGCGACACCGAGGGTTGCGATCCCGTTACCGGTCAGTAAAAAAAGACAAAAAAGGAAAAAAAAAAAAAAAATTCACCAGCAGGACGGGGAGAGGGATGAAGAAGGCTCAGTGCCGTCCTCCCAGATGCCATCGGGACCCCCAAGACCAGCGGCACTGATTCAGCTCTGTCGCCCTGGGGAGGAGGGGGTGTAGAGCAGCCACAGCCTGTGTTTTGGGGCCACATTGATCCCCAGTTTTGCCCAACCCTCAGCTTCTCTAAGGCCACCTGCCCTGGACACGTTGGTCTGGGGAGACCCAAGGGAGCCCCAGAGCAGCCAGGAAAGTGCCACCCCAAAGGGGGGTTGGCCAGGTCTCTGGCAGTAAGTCACCGGTCCCCTCCTGGGGCTCCAGCCGAGCCCCTTAACAGGGAGGGCCTGGACCCCTGGCACCGGAACCTCAGCACTCCCATGGGCAGGACAAAGAGCTCACCACCCCAGTCTGGAGTCCTGGGAGTCTCACCATGCTTGTTTACAGGGCTGTGCTCCAAGCTCAGATTAATAAAATGGGGGATTGTTGCCACTTAACAAATGTGCTGTCCAGTACCGGATCTCAGAGGCAGAACCACCAAAGCAAGAAAATAAATCAGAGGCCCACGCGGTGCAAAGTCTGAGACCTGTCATGGTTCCACTGTTACCAGTGAGGGGAGGCAGGAGGGCACCTGCGGTGGACACGTGCCCCTTCCCCACAGCCCCACCAGGTGGGCCCTGCGTGCCCTGCCCAGCCTTCACCTAATCAGCCAGGCTTGCAGGAAGGACCAAGTCCCCGTGGAACAAGTAGCCATGGAGGGGCAGGCCGGCACCATGGCGACCTAGAGAGAAGGCGCGTCAAGGGCCAGCATCGTGAAGCCCAGGGCAGGATGGGGACTTGGCACTTGGAGGGTTTGGGACTTCCTAGGGCAAAGCGGTCCTATAGAGCAGGGCCAAGTCACAAGAGGAAGGGGTGAGGGGCGCTGGCTGGTAGGAAGGTGGAGGCCCCAGACAGCAGCGGCTCTGGCAGTGGGAGGGAGGGTGTATAGGACAGGCGATGGAGAACGTGGGGTGGGGGGAGGCAGACGTGAAGACGCTGGGGTGGGGGCGCAGGGCTGTGGTCTGGGCTGGGGCAAAGGTTCATCCAACGCACACAGCAAACCCACAGCCCCAAGTGCAGGAGAACACACCCCCCACTTTCCAGGGCGGCCCCTGGCACGGGAGCGCTTCTGCACTTGGCCTTCAGACCCCCCTCCCACCCTGGACTCTGCAAGGACCTTGCTGGAGGTGGGGCCAAGGAAGGGAGTGTAAGTCCTGCAACAGACTCTCTTCCACGTGGTCACTGTGGGGCCTCCACACAGCAGGGGATGGACCCCAGGGACAACACTGGCATGGTTCCCACAGGACGAGGCCAGAAGTACCCGAGGGTGCCCTCCTAGGGTCAGATTTCCCAGGGAACTGAGGGCCTCCAGAGGGTCCAGGCTTACCCAAAGCCCAGGCCACAGCAAGCCTGGTGCCCTGGGTCCTTTCCTCCCCTTTCAGCTGCAAATGCCATAAGCCCAATTCCAGCATCAGTAAGCAAAAGAGAGCTACTGACAGGAAGGACCAGCGGTCAGCTCTCTGTTGCTCTCTCCTGTGAGCACCCCGGCCCCAGAGCTATCAGGCCATGTGCAAGGCGGCATGTCCACTCATGCACAGTGACCCTGGATGACCAGCAGGTGGGCCAGGCCCCTGGGAGCCCCCCAGCTCCACCGTCACTGAATGATAAGCCTGATGCAGTCTCACCCTTGGTTTCCTCCCCTCCTGACTGGGTGACACAGATGGCCATTAATTCAGGCAGCCACTAGTCCCATCTCTGTGCGAGGCCCCACATTAGGAGCAAGAAGATGTCATGAACAGGTGGGGGATGGGGGGTGGGAACAAGCACCCACTCCATTCCCAAGGTCATCTGGGTGGCCAGGAAGAACCTGCAGGGACCTGTCTAGCCCACCCTTGACCCTCTCCAGTTGGGTCCAGGGTCCATCTCCCAGGGGAAGCTTCCCCCATGTGCTCCTTGTCCTGGCTGGGAGCTGGCTTTTGGGAGGTGGAGTCCCTCTCTGATGGATGCTGCCAGCTAACAGGAGGTCTCTCTGTCATCCCCCTCCGCGCCCCCATCTAAGGTCAGGCAGGCTGGAGACGCTGAGTTCTCAGGACTCACACTTAAGTGAGGACCACTTCCCCGTAATCACGGCTGGTCAGCAGCTTCCCGTTGGTCCCACAGCCAGAGCCCATGAAGACGGGCATCCCGCTCTGCTCAGGGCCAGCTGCCAGCCGCCCCTGAGATGGAAAGGACTCCAAGTGCAGGGAGGACGCCTGTGCCCAGCCCTCACCATGAAGGCTGGCATTATCGCTCCAGTTAGAATCCAAGGACCTTTTCCCCAGCTGCCCTTTTTTCTCTTTGAAACCTTTATGATGAGAGCTTCCTTCGGGCTGTGGACTATCAGCCTCCCGGGGCCTCTGCAGGCCACCCACCCCCTGTGCCTCATTCTGCAGAAATGCCCCCCACGTCCTTGGCAGCACCCCCACAGATGGCTGAGGGATTTGTCACTCCCAACATTGCAAAGGGATTTTTCTAAAGCCTTAAGAAACGATGACACAACAATAGATATCCATTGTGGAAAATTCTGAAAGATAAAGAAAAACAGAAAGAAGATCTTATAACCGCTGTCAAGGGGTAACCTCTCTTAACTTCTTGTCAAACGTCCCTCTGACTTTTTTTTCTTCACATCAGAACACATCTTCTAGGGACTCCATCCACATATTCTGTTCTGCTTGAGGCTTTTGTCTCTTAAAACTCTTCCCTGTCGATAGACAGAAGTCAGCGTCCTCACTGTGATGGTCTGTACTGTGTTTGTTTAATGGAATGGATTACCTGGTTTGGGATATTTTGGTTTTTCCCAATTTTTCATTATTACGTATATCACTGTGACAAACAATCTCATTTCCTCAAATTTTTGCACGGGTATCTGATTTTCCCCCCCAGGGATAAATTCCTACAAGTAGATTCTGGGTCAAAATGCTACACTTTTGACACGTGCTGCTGTGAGAATTTTCTAGTTTATTTCTGTTGGGGACAGAAAACTCAGAACCTGAGAAAAAAGCTCTGACCTAAAACTGATTATTTCAAAGAAGTTGTGGAACATCTGCCTCCCCCCACCCCTTCCCAGTTGCAGCTGGGGAGAGACAAGAGCAGCCGGAATAGTAATTATGTGTCAGGCCTGGGGTGACATCTCCTCCTTTGGCTGCCTTGTTAGCAGGTGAAATTGGAACTCTAAATGAGCAAGTCCCCTCCTAGTGCCCTGCTTAACTGGAAGGTTCCTCGCCCCAAAGTGGGTGGTGCCCGGTGCCGGGGCCCACAGAACACGGAGGCAGCTGCTGGCGGCCTGGCCCAGCCCTGCATGCAGGGCACAGCAGACCCCACACCAGGTGGACTCCAGACATCTCTGGTTGAAGCTACCTTGTGAGAGTCTATTCTAGAAATGGACAGTGATATGGGGAAACTTGTCCCTTCAGCCAGATGGACAAAGAGTGCAGCTCCTCATCCTCATCACCATCGTCTGACCTGGGCAGACTTGGGGTTAAAAGAGAGCTGTGTGGGCCACAGAAGCTACTTCACCTTGATGTGCCTCAGTTTCCCCATAGTGGGTCAAATAGTGACCCCCAAAATATGTGCCCACTTGCACCCTCAGAAGGGGACCTTATTTGGAATAAGGGTCTTTGCAGATATAATTAAAGTAAGCATCTCAAGATGGGATCATCCTGGGTTAGGGTGGGCCCTAAGTCCAATGAGAGTGTCCAATGAGACACAGGGGAGGAAGCCACATGAAGATGGAGGCAGGGGTTGGAGCGATGCAGCCACAAACCAAGAAATGCCCAGAGCCACCAGAAGCTGGAAGAGACAAGGAGGGATCCTCCCCTAGATCCCTGGAGGGCACGTGGCCCCGCTGACACCTGCCAGAGACGCTGGAGGGGAGACGGGGCCACATTGCTGCTGA